TTCCTTTAAGAGATTCATTTCTTGCAATTTTTGGTTTGTTTTTCCCTTCATTTCTTAAATTTTTGTTTGTTTTTTTTTCTCCCATTTCTTTAAGGGATTTTCTCATTTCCTCTTTGAGGTTCTGTATTATCTGCATAAAGTTGTCGTTAGGATCATTCTCTTCTGTTCCATCTATGTTGGAATGTTCAGGTCTTATTGGTGTGGAGTTACCTAGACTCTGGTGGCGTCATATTGATCTTTCTATTGTTGAGTGTGTACTTATACTGTCATCTTCTCATCCATTCTTCCAGTGGGTGCCGGTGGGGTCTCACCCTCTTCCGGTGGATACAGGTCCAAGGTCCTCTTCTGGTGGGTGCAAGCAGGTCCAATACTCCGACAGCTCTCCTCTTCCCTTGGGTGGATGTGGGACTAGCACTGTGAAGTCAGAAGACTCTGGATAGCCTCGTCCTCCAGGAGGGGGTCCCCCTGTGTGCAGTCCCCAGACCTCAGGAAGCTCCAAGCAGGGCACTGGAAGGTAGGCTGGAAACAGGCCCATGCTTACTTCCTCCCAAGTAATGTTTCTATGATCTGACCTGTAGGAGCGCCTTGTTTCCTCCATGACTTCTGTCAGTTCTCCTTCAGATCCTGTGCTGGCCTTCATTAATTCACTTCACTGCTTGTGTTTTCTCATTAGCCTTGTATTTCTATTGAAAATGGTTCATCCTCTAGGATGGGTATCTTTTGTGACATCATGTGACAGCCTCCTTAGTGGCTTTTCCTTGAAAGTGTGTCATGGGAGGCCTCAGTCCTGGATTTTGCTTGATCTGAGGCATGGAGTCTCTCATTCTTACAATAATCTCCAAGGCTAATCTTCCACCAACAAGAAGTCCTAACGAGACTTGAAGGAGGCAAAGCTAAAATTAGAAAGAGGCTATGCTGAGTGCTCAAGTGGGCAGGGCAGGGCGGGGCCAGCTCAGGGACTCCTTTGCTATTTTTGATATTTAAAAAGCCGCAGAGTTTTGTTTCCATGATTTAACTTGATGTTCATACTTGGTACAGTGCCAGTTCTGAAAGCAAGTAAGTCTCTCTTCTCACACACCCCTACTTGTGCCCCCCCGCAATTTGTCTTCATGGCAGGTCAAATAAAGGAACCTATAAATAACTATGGTTTTATAATAAAACCAAGTGATAAACTGACAGAAGTGCTCAAATACAAGATTTTACGTCATGTTCACCTTCCCCCATGGAGATGTCTACATGAAATATATTTCTAGAACTCAGGTTTTATGGCATTCTATATCCTTTTCTCCTATCCTGGAAGATTTGAAAGGTCATTTGATGAGCTGTTTTCAGGATCAGTGCTGAAGCTGATAATCTTGGTAAAGATTAAGTTAATGTATTCTAGAAAAATGTAGTTCTTCTAGAATGTTCTCAGCTACATTCTCTCCAAGATAAGTAAAGAGAAATATTTTATAAATATGCCCTGATAAACATTATAGTACAGTTTTTTCATTTCTACTCAAGTTCAGGGATGGTTTCTTAGTAAATTGTAAACCTATAGATCCTTTATGGAAAATTCTTTCTCTTACTTCAGGTTGGCATAGTCAGTAGCCCCCAAATCTGACTTTTGAATGAATATAACAGTATTTGAGATGAAGTGCAGCAAGCAGCAGGTGGAAACGGGCTGTTTTGAAGTCAGTCCTTTGCTCTGTCTCAAGCTCATCCATTGACTTGTGGACTTACAGTTGTTGTTAGACTATCATTCTAAAACTGAGGTGTCTACTTTATATTTGATCATTCAAAGTGGAATAAAACAGTGGGACTTGATTGCACATGGCTATAATCTCAGCACTTGGGACCCTGAGGCAGGTGGATCCCAGGTTCAAGATCAGCCTGGGTTAGGGAGTGAGTTCCTAGTAGAGGTAGCTCAGGGTTAGAGCAAGGGCCAAATGTAACCACAGACCTGAATTCAATCCCAATCCCCACCAAAAGCAAAATAAACAAGGAAGCAAAGAGCCCAAAACGTTAGTTTACTTGGAGAAATCACATTTTATGGAAAACAATGGTTTTAACTGGTACTCATTTTTAGACACTTTGAGTGACTCATGAAATCATGTCTTTAGAAAACACTGTTATAAAAACACAGTATCTTAATTTCTTATTAATAGTTTACATTGTGGTTTTTATTAAATTGTGGTTTTCATAATTTAAAAAATAAGGATACTAATAAGGAGGATTTTTATGCCAGGTTTTCTATTGCATTTGATGAATATAATTAATACTTGACATTTTACTGTTTTACTATTTTATTTGTTTTTTATTTATTAATTTAAAGAGGTGTTTTGATCTCATCTTTAAGGTTGTTCCATCTTCTGGTTTGTTTGTTCTGGAGTTGAACATGGAACTTTGCCCATGCTAGGCAACTGCTTTCCCTACACATCCAGCTCCAATCCACTTTGTATGTGTGTCCCCATTATATGTTTGCATAGGTGTGTGTGTGTGTGTGTGTGTGTGTGTGTGTGTGTGTGTGTGTTGAGGCCAGGGGTTGATGTTGTTGTCTTCCTCATTAAATTTATACCTCATTTTTTAAGATTGGACTTTCATTGAACCTGGAGCTCATGGTTTAGGTGGACTGCTGGCAGGTGTGTACTTGCCAGTCATCCAGCTGTCTCCAGGTCTGCAGCCCTGGTATAGACACATGCCGTGCCTGGCCTTCATGTGGGCGCTGGGATGAGAACTCAGTTCCTCATGCTTGCACAGCAAGCATTTAACTGACTGAGCCATTTCCTCACCCCACCCACTTTTATACACGCATTTTAACAATATTTTCTTCCTTTCCCTTTCCCTCTCTCTTTCTCTATTTCTCTTTCATTTTTCTATACTCTCTCCCTATGTAGAATTTATAACATATACCTCCTGAATATTGAGATTACAGTACAGGTGTGCACCTAACCCTCCCCCAGCTACAATTTTTTAAAATTTCACTTTAAAACTTGGGCTACACATTACCCTTTTCTGAAAGAAAAAAATAGAATTTGTGTCTCACTAAAGAAGTTTTTGAGGATGTCAAACTTTATTAGTGATTCCTGTTTTGAAAGCAATATGGCTAAACATTGTAAATATAACTTAAGTATATGCTGTTTTCAAAGTCTTTAAGTGTATTTGTTAATGTTAAGCATTTTTGGTAAGTCTAACAGATAATTAGTGTGATGGTTTGGTAAAAGACGGTTAGAAAGAACATAATGTGTGATTTCCCCATTCTTCCTACTATGGACATCAAGAGTCACTGGTGCAGTGACTTCTTGGAGCATCGTCAGAACTGTGGCTGCAAGTTCAAGTTGACAGTGTCACCAGAGAGAAACATAAAGCAGTGTTCTCAACCTTCACCCTATACCTAGTTTCTCCAGATGGTGGCATCTTGCAAAACTGGAGGACAATTCAGCAACAGGCAATCATTACACAGTTAGGATAGAAAACAGTTCCCTGACTACAGTGTGTGTGTGTGTGTGTGTGTGTGTGTGTGTGTGTGTGTGTGTGTGTGTGTTTCTGGAAACTGACAAGCACTCTGCCACTGAGCTATATACTCATCCCCACATTTTCCTTTTACTTTGAGATAGCATCTCACTAAGTGGACCAAGTTGGCCTTGAACTCACCATCCTCCTGCCTCAGTCCCCAGTAGGATTTTACAGGTCTATGCTTTAGTTTTCCCTTTTAAAGTACCACAAGCAAGTAAGAACTAGGCTCTGTCTTGGTGAGTTTAGAATTTCCTGTTTGGAAATGCAGGCTATAAAAGGTTGGTCTTCCACTAATTTCTAAAGCAAGCTACCAGGTTTGGGACTTGTGGTTAGAATGAGGACCAATGTAAACATTTCATCACTCTATGCATTGACACCTGTTTGCTTCATTTTCTGAGGCTTCTGAACCTGGAAGTGAATGGGCCCAGGGAGAAGCAAGAATCTAGAAAATGGATGTTTTCAGGACCCATGCTGTTTACCAGTAAGGACTTCCAAATAGGGAGAAAGAAAATTGCTGTGAGCTTGGGCTGCTTGGAAAAGATGCTTGGAAGGAAAAATGCAGATTGGGTCTTGGTTTGTTTGCCTGAGAAAAGGCAAGCATCAAGATGAGGGGCCCTGAAGTTCCTAGAGGCAGTCTGGATTGATGTTCCAGCAAAGGGTCTTTCCTTTCTAGTTCATTGTTTTGTTCTTCAGTACCTAGAATAGGGGCTGGAGGTAGTAGGGAGTATATCAACTTGAAACCTGCTTTGCTGAATCCTGTATGTAACTCTTCAATTGGATGATTATTTTACACTTGCCTGGGACAGGCACAGCTCCTTGAATATTGCTGCTGGCTGTTAGTTATATACAGCCATAACAGGGCTAGCTCACTGTTTACTGAGAGGGCTATTCTGGATGTTTCGAAATTTAGCAACATTTCTAGCACCTACACACACACACACACACACACACACACACACACACACACACACACACACACACACGCACATCTCAGCTGTGACAGACACAACTGGATGGATATTGCTGTATGGACAGAATCATCCCTGGTAATTGAGAGCCACTGGGCCATATTGGACACCAAGGCTTGACTTGGAGAAGTCTTGCAAAATCTCAAAGTCAAAATGCAAAGGTAACTCGTAGGCACATTCCGCATTGCTCAGTTGTCATTGTCTAGGATGGCCTACATATGTCCAGCTGTTGGATGTGTTCTGGGTGGTAGCCACCTCCCCCTCCCCTCTGCCATAGCTCAGCAGCCTTGACTCACACAGTGGCAGAACCATTCTGAGTATACCGTCTGCCCGAGCCCTATGGGTGGTATGGCTGTGTATAGATGCTATGTTTAGCCCCTTGGAAATAACTACTCATTAAAAAGGCAAAAGGCACCAGGGGAGCCCTGGCTGTGTGCCTTGCTCTGCCTGGTGACCACACTACAAGCCCTGCCCTCTGTTGCTTCTCCCCCTTCCCTTTGTGTTTATTGATGTCAATCATCTCCCTGACCCATTCAGAGCCATGTTGCAAATGGAAGGCAGGAAAGAAGAAGGGCGAAGAGAAGAAAAAAGAAAAAGGAGGTAAGAAGAATGAGAGAGAGCATGGCCTCTCCAAGGGATACACCCAGGACTCCTGGCTTTTACTTGGGGTCAACCCTCTCAGGTCAACCCAGGAGAAAGGTTGGAATGGTTCTGCCACTGTCTGAAGACGACCTTTTGTCCTTGCCTTTTTTTTTTTAATCTATAAAGAATTATATCTTGAAAACACCTAGGTAATTGGTATAAGGTTGCTTCTTTTGATAGGTTAGACCAGAAATACATAGAATGAAACATTTGAAGCTGGAAACAGGGTTCACATTCTCTGTCTCTGTCTCTCTGTGTGTCTGTCTCTGTCTCTGTCTCTCTCTCTCTTTTTCTCCATCCCCCAGGCTACTCTCCAGTTCATTTCTCTACTTTTCAGCATCCCAAGTTCTGCTGTTATAGGACTGAGCCACCCAACCAGGCCAGGGTAATAACTGAGCTACAGACCCTGTACCTATAGGGTCAGGTGGTTTTCCTGTCTCTTTGTTCCAGAACTTTGGAAAGCATACTTTGGAAAGTATTTTGAGTGCTAGCTATCAGTTGACCTGCCTCAATCTAGCACCACTGGTGGCATGTACAGGGATTGTGGGAGTGGCTTTGGTCATGAAGCAGGCCTTTTCTGAGTCAGGCTGAGAGCCTCTGGGTACTTCTTCAAACTGAACTTGCCTTTCCCATGATTTCCCTCTAGACATCCTCAGTGACTTAACTTGTGTGTGTGTGTGTGTGTGTGTGTGTGTGTGTGTGTGTGTGTGTGTATGCATTTCCATATTCCTGACTGGCTGTGGCTTCATCCTTGAGCATTGCCTAAGCTTGCCTATCCTTGTGGAGGACACTATAAAAAGAAAACAGACGGGAGGGACTAGAGAGAGGGCTCATTTCGTGACAGGCTTTGCCACAGCAGCATGAAGATCTGAGTTCTCTCCCCCAAAACCTCAGCACAAAAGCCAAGCACAGTCGTAAGCTTCTGTAAACCCAGCACTGAGGAGGAAAAGACAAGGTGGCCAGCCAGTGTATTGGAACTGACCCTGTCTCAAAATGGAAAAGTGACTGAGGAAGGAAGGCATTCAACATCCACCTCAGCCCTCCACATGGACCCTGCATAAATGTGCATGAATATGCACACCCACACAGATGTGTGTATGCACAACACACACACACACACACACACACACACACACACACACACACACACACTTTAGAGTTGAGAAAATGCAGAAGGCAAAACAATTTTGTATTTCCAGTCCTTCAGCTCCAGATGTGTGAACTTGGGATGTTTTCTCATCTATGTACTTTTATCTCTCATCTGTAAAACAGGTGTGAGTCTGTATTTGAAATCTTCACATGCTGATGTCAAGGATGGAAAAGATGATGGATATTGTAAAGGGCTGTGTGTTTCCTATTGAACATTAGGTAACACAGATTAGGATCCAAATATCCACAGAATGGCTTCATTTGTTTTCCTTTTTTTTTTTTTCTTTTGTCAGAGTGATGGGCAGATGGCTCAGTTGGTAAGAGTGTTTGTTCTGCAATCACAGACCCTTGATCAAATCCCCAGCATGCACATAAAAAGCCAAGCATTGAGTGCTCAGTGCCTGTGACCCCAACAACGGAGGTGGGGGTACAGATGGGTGTACCCAGGAGCTCACTGGTTTGCCAGCCTAGTTGAAACAACAAGCTTATCTTCAGTAAGAGACCCTTTCCCAAGAAAATAAAACAGCCTGCTCTGGCCTCTCTGCCTTCACGAGCTTGGGGGTGGACCCACACACTCAGGTGCACGCACCACACATATACATACATATCATGAACTAAATAAACCAAAACAGGTATACTGAATAAATCTGACTCTGTCGGTCCCCTTGTCTCTTTTAGGTTCCATTTTGGGGGCGGAGAATGCATCACACGTGTCCCTGCCTGCCAGGCTTAGCGTGTTTACGGACATCTTTCAATCGGTTTATCTGTTTGGCCCGGAAGTGATGACTTTGAAGAAAGAAGCTGAAGTGTGAGCCTCCGCTGCACAATGTCTTGTCAAGTCTCACTTGTGATTGTGTCAAACAAAGAATATGCCAGAAAGAAACGCTCTCGCTTCCTCAGCTTTCCAAGTAACATTCCGAAGTGACTTTTTTTTTTTTTTTTCTTTTTTGAAGGGGAGTTTTGATTGTTTGGATAGACGTATAAAGGGCAAAGCGTTCTGGAACGGCTTCTCATTTCCCTGTTTATGTTTTGGCTTGACGTGTTTGAATGCCAATATCAACAAGCATTTTAATGAATAGGAGAATAAGAGTAGGTATTTTGTTGCAAAAACTTTTCTTTTCTTTCTTTCTTTCTTTTTTTTTTTCTTTTCTGCCTGGTGCATAGACATTCCCTCACTTTTCAAAGACCGATGGTCCTCAGTTTAGCCTAGCGTTCTGAAGTGGGGGTCTTGGCAACCTTGACTTGCTGGTAGACCTGCTGAGGAGGCTCAGTTAGCTCTATACTTCTTTGGTGGCAAGAGGGTGCATTTGAACCAGACACTCCAGACAGCTCACTGGGAGTAGTAGATGGGAGTGCTTCTGGAACTTTCCTGCACCCATCTAGTTCAGTGACTTTCAGTTCTACTGTTTAACTGGTGGGAGAACAAAATTAATGGGACGCTGAAAGTATGTGGTCCATTTTTCTAGATTTCGTTTAAGCAAAGGGCATTTTCTCCCTCATGGAATATGGAATATTTATTACATTTTCTTTTTCATTTTTTTAAAACTTGAAGCTCTTTTTTTTTTCTTCTTGTTGGGGACGTTCAAAAGAATGCCACTTGAGGAGGAAGCATTGATTTTCATCTGTCGACACAAGTCATCATTTAAAAATCGGTGTTTAGTTATAATTTAAACTTTTATTTGCAACCCAAAGGTCTATTGTAATGGATTTCCTGATATCTTGCCATTTGTACTGGTATCAATATTTCTATGTAAAAAAAAATTCTGTATCAGAATAATGACAATACTGTATATCCTTTGATTTATTTTGATATTATATCCTTATTTTTGTCATGGTGGTCAACAGTTTTTATTACGAGCAGATTTCTATATAACCCTCATCCTAAAGCGGATAGACACCCCAAAGCTGGTGGAATCGACCTCACATTTCATGCATTTTCATTTCACATTCAGGAGAGTTGTGTCTGTGTGAATTTTAAGGTAGCACAAAAATGAATAAATAAAGCATGTGTACCTATCAAAAAGGCTTTGGAGAGTGAAGGAAAAAGTGACACCCAGAAGTGCCTGCTAGCTGGAATGAACCTGCAGGTTTCCTCGGCAAAACCTGATGGAGTGCGCAAGATGCATGGCATGGCATGGGCTAGGCTCTAACTGCACAATGGTGCCAATGCACTCTGCTCTGGCTTTGAACAACTCACTAAATTTGTCAGTCCATATTGTGTCACAAATAAACAACAGCTGCAACCTTAAGTTTAACTGACTACACATTTGCCCATACCCACCCACCACCTGTTCCCCAAAGTAGACAGCAGTTGTCCATTCTGTGGTTGTTTGCTCGGCTGGGAGTTACACAGGTATGTTGGTTATAACTTATCCCTCGGGCTAACGTTGTGGTACAATTGTATGGAAGCTGGGTGTGCTAGTCACCACAGTTTCTCAGTGTTTTCTATTTACTTTACACGGGAGGAAACATCCTTTATCAAGTCTGTTTGAAAACCAAATAATCAACTTGAACAAGGGGAATTATGGGGAAGAAATGGACACAGCTGCAATTTGGCTAAAGTTATCTTCACATAGCTTTCAAGACATTTTTCAATAAGTGGCAAAATGTAACTTTAATTTTCACCAAAATTAGAGACTGCAGCTATCCCTTATACAATCTTGCTCTTAAATCCAGTTCAAAGGGGACAGATGGAGTCTCAGGTGCTCAACAAAGAGGACCCAAATGCATGGATGGTCAACGGCTGACTTGGGTGCTCATTAGCACCTGCTGTTGCCCAGAGCCTTGGCGTTTGCTCTCTCTCCCTTTGCTAGTTATTTTTATTGTCTAGAGTAACATATTACTCAGATTATTTTGTCAATTGCCATCAAAACTGACACCTTTCAAATCACTGTTTCACAAACTTTGTAATCCCATTCCTCAGAAGTTTTTATTTTTGTTTTTTTTTTAAGTATTGCTATTGTGTGTGTGGTGGATTAAGAAGGGGGGAGGGAGAGTGTGCCAAGGCACACCTGTGGAGGTCAGAGACAACTGTGTGAGTTGGTTCTCTCCTTCCCCGTTTTTGCATATGCTCTGGAGATCAAACTCAGGTGGTCAAGTTTGCATGGCAAATGCTTTAGCAGGCTGGACCATCTCACTAGCCCTCAGAGGTTGTTTAGAACAGTTTTGTGAGACACGTGTTAGGCCCATACTCTGGCAACTTCATTTTTGGCTCCCAGGATGGTCCTGAAACCCTACAAGGTAAGGCAAGTTAGGGGTTTCAAGGTGAAAAGCCAAATACCAGATAATGTTTTTGGTAAGGTTTCAGACCCTGGCCCCTGTTGTCTTTCTGTTTCCTCACTCTGGGTACATTGTGGGAAGTAGGTTCAGACTTTGGCTGTCCTGCCTTGCCCTTGCTGATGAACTGTAGAATCCCTTCTTTGTCATAGCAACAAGAATAGCTAATACAGACTGTCATTTCTAACTGTTTAACTTTGTATGTAGAGCCGGGCGTTGATGGGTGCACACCTTTAATCCCAGCACTCGGGAGGCAGAGGCAGAGGCAGGTGGATCTCTGAGTTCAAGGCCTCTGTGAATTCGAGGCCTCTGTGAATTCGAGGCCAGCCTGGTATACAGAGGAGTTCTGGGACAATCTCCAAAGCAATACTGAGAAACCCTGTCTTGAAAAAGCAACGAAAGGAAAAGTTGATGCCAAAGCTACCTCTCCCTCAGCTGAAGGCCGTCATTACAATACAGCTCTTGTTAAGGCCCTGCAGAGTCAGTCCAAGTACAAATCAAACGCAATCTGATCATCCTCTTCTCAAGCCTCCTGTAAAAAAATGTATTTAAGCTAGATGAACAAAGAAGCAAAGGAGAATTGGAACAGAGAACTGAAAGGAGAGCTAGAAAGAATTAGAAGAAAATTAGAGGGCAGAAAAATAGAATATTAAGGAGCATGACCAGAACAGTACATATGTGACTTTATTCTATACTCTTCAGTTAGAAAAACCTTTGGTTCAGTTTGGCTTCTCTGTGGAGCTGTTTTCTCTCTACTTTGGGCGTAGCCTTGAGAGCTGGTCTTTCAGGCTAGGATTCCTTTCATTTCATTCTCAAAAGGTAAAATAATCATAAAAGTTAACCCGTTTGCAGGCTGGGAGGACAGCTCAGTTGGTCAAGCACTGTGCAAACACAATGACCTGAGTATAGTCTTCAGAAATCACATACAAAGTAGAATGTAACAGCAAATGCTAATCCCAGAGCCAGGGCAGAGGAGACAGGAATCCTGGGGTTCAAACCAGCCATCCTTAGTACATTGTTGAGGTTTAGGTTCAGTGAGAGATCCTGTCTCAAAAAGTAAGGTGGAGAACAACTGAGGTAGATGCCAGATGTCAGTTCCTGGACTCCATACTCAAATGCACATGCATACGAACATGTACACACATACATGTGCACACAGACACATAAGTCATTATGAAGAGTTAAACCTCAGCAAAATCCCAAAGAAATAAAACACGTTCAAAGTAGTAAAAAGGAAGTGTGGCACAGATGTGCCCAGAGCATGTCACTTGTGAGTCAGCGCCGAAGCAAAGGACCCAGTGACACTCATCACTGAGGAATGATTTAGCCTCTAGGTCATACTGCTAATCAAATCCACAATTGCTTAAATTCATTTTTATCTTCTTGACTAAAATACAAGCAATTGATGGGTAGCATGGGGTTTCCGTTGAAGAAACTCAAGCAAGTTCAGAGAAAACTTAAGTTTGGTTTGAGGAGCTGTTGAGAAATTTCCTGGATTGTATTTCTCTATAGACAAGATTAACCCTGGCATGAAGGGTATTTAGCTCATTCTTTAGAACACAAAACCTAACCAGCAAAACATTTTTATTATGGAAAATGTAAACAGACATTCTTAAGAGGAGGGGTTGATGAGATGGCCCAGCAGATAAAGGTGCTTGCCATTCTCACAATGCTCTCACGATTCGAGCCTAACGGCCTGACCTCAATAGCTGAGACCTGTATAAAAGTGAAAGGAGAAAACCTACTCCACAAAGCTGTCCTCAAAAATGTACCTTGGCATATGGGCCCTTGTGTGTGTGTGTGTGTGCCCACTTGCACGTGCGTGTGTTAGTGTGTTCACACATACACAGAGTAAAAACAAAATTGAAATTGTTATCTTCTTAGAAATGATGGAACGAAGCATCACAGAGCTGTCACCCATTATCTTATTAATGCCACTAATTGCAGTGGTGACCTTATTCCATCCCAGCCTCTTGCACCCCACTCCTCCTCCCTCTTCATTGTCCTAATGCAAACCAACTTGGTATCTTCTTGAGAGTCTTCTTGTCACTGTATGTATTATTCTGTTCTCCATTACTGTAACAGAATGCCCCTTGTTAGGTTTTCATGTGTGTGTATCTGTGTGTGTGTACATGTTCTTGTATATGTCCATATGGGTGGGTGGGTGTGTGTGTGTGTGTGTGTGTGTGTGTGTGTGTGTGTGTGTGTGTACACAGGTGCATGTGCATATATGGAGACCAGCCGTCATCTGATAGCTTTCCAAGATCACTTTTATTGTTTAAAGATTTATTTTGTATTTTGTTTTTGTTTTTTGTTTTTTTCGAGACAGGGCTTCTCTGTGGCTTTGGAGGCTG